AATCCACTCCTGGTTCTCTCACTTAGTCATCATAAGGTGTTTGCCTCTATTTACCAATGGAAAAAATGTCGCTCAAAAGTCACTTGCCCAAATTCAGAGTTAAGATAGTAGTAAAACATGATACAAAATTGGGTTTTCTGATCCCAGCACTATATGGAATAGAAGTCATGCATGCCTGTAATCCCAGCATTTTGGAAGGCCAAGACAGGAGGAATGCTTGAGCCCAAGAATTCAAGACCAGCCTGGGCAACATGGTAAAACCCCGTCTCTACAAAAAATAGAAAAAAAATTGATTATCGGGGATGTGGTGGCACACACCTATAGTCCCAGCTACCCAGGAGGCTGAGACAGGAGGATTGCTTAAGCCCAGGTCAAGGCTGCAGTAAGCCATGATCACACCACTGTACTTCTAACCTGAGCAACAGGGCAAGACCCTGTCTCAAAACAAAAATCAAAACAAAAAGGTCCTCAAGCAATCTAGTCCTCCCCTCTTCACCAAAGGGTTAAGTGACTCATTCAAGATCATAAAGGAAAAAGAACTGGATTTCTTTATGTCCTTCTATGAGGACAGATCCTTTTGTTATTGCTGGGAAACACTAACGACTGAATTACTCTCCAAATGTAAACAGATGATATTGTATTTTATTTATATACTTCTTTGAGACAGAGTCTTATTCTGTCACCCAACCTGGAGTACAGAGGCACAATCTCAGCTCACTGCAACATCTGCCTCCCAGGCTCAAGCAATTCTTATGCCCCAGCCTCTTGAGTAGCTGGTGTGCACCACCAAACCCAGCTAATTTTTGCATATTTAGTAGAGACGTGGTTTCACCATGTTGCCCAGGCTGGTCTCCAACTCCTGACCTCAAGTGATCTACCCACCTTGGCCTCCCATAGTGCTGGGATTATAGGTATGAGCTACCATGCCTGGTCAACAGATGGTATTTTAAAACTCACTGAGGCCTAAATATGCTTTAGTCAGAACGCTCCTTGCACTTAAATAATTTAAATACAGACTAATGTATTATTAGAGTAACAATTTATTAGCAGACAAAAGAAATGAAACCTCTAAACCTCAACACACATATAGGATTTTACATAATAAACAGTATAAAACATAACCTTCTAGAAGAAAAGTATCTGCTGTTAGCCAGCTCCCCCTCCCTTCCAGTAGGCTGCAATACATTAATAACTCATCCTCATCCCATAAGAGGGTTAAGCAATGATTTACATGAAATTACATCAAGGCACTTGCTTTAATTAAAAAATACAGTATAAAACATGTTCCTGAAAGTCATCGACCTTGAATAATTAAAGAAAACAAAAGGCAGTATACTTTTTTGGTGAATAGACAAGACTGAGAATTTAAGTTCATTCACCTGTCACCCTGATACTATGTTGGTTTGTATACGAAGTTGCAAAGAAGACAAAAAAAGGTAGCTTATTACACAGATTGGTTGGTTCATACACACTCATTTCTGAGAAGTAGAAGCCATGGCAGCAACAGGACTCAAACCACAATTTTCCAACTAATTTGCGTTGAAAAGGCAAGGGCTATGTGATTCCACGTATCTTATTATTTTAGGGATGATGCATGGGATAAGAGAAGAGAATGTCTCCAAAATAAGTTTATTAAAGCTTCAGTTAAAAGACCTTTTTGGCTTAAGCTGCTTATCTATAGACTTACAAACATGGTATCTAAAATAGACGCAGTTAGTGTCCTTCATTGTTCCAGTTTCTAGACCTCAGTCCATTATTTTCCTATTTTACAACACTAAGATAAAAAATACACGCTAGAGAATCTACTATTTATTATAATGCTTATTTTACTTTCTAAATATATTTAACATGTTTATTTTAAAATTTCAGTTGCAAAACTTTTTTTTAAGTCCTTCTCGGGATAAAAATTACCTTAGAAAAATCTCCCCACCTCCACATCTAAATTCTCCATCCCTATAAGTTACTAAATTTTTTTAAACCTTGAAAATTTACCTTTAACATATTTCAATAGTATTTTAATACATGGACTATAACAACAAACCAGCTGGTATATTATTCTGTCCTTTTCCATTATAATTTTCATTCTTATAATTGGCACCCAAGTTAATGATTGCATTCAGGATTATCTAAATGGTTTATACAAAAAATAAAAAAATAAAAAAACAACAACACTCTCACAAATTAGGAGCCTAAAAGCTTTCTATTTTATTATTATTATTATTATTATTATTATTTTAGGCTCAAGGAAACTTCACTAGTGAAGTTTCACCCTCAACACCACTCAATGATCTAACAGCTTTCTAAATCCAACTTCATTCTTTTTGCAATTTAAGCCCAATTTTAAAGAAGGCATCACTAGAATGGATAAAGAAAATATTGAGGTGGGGGAGAGAAATATTAAAAAGCAGAAACACTAAGCAAAATGTAAATCCTGTCAACTGGATGTTTACCATTTCACAGTGTAATCTTTCCCTGAATAGTCCAGGGACATCACTGCCTCCTGCTCAGCTCTCAAAGCTTCAACATGTTCCACAAAGCACCTCCCTAAGTACCCTAGTGTGCTCCGTGGAGTGTTAACTACACAGCCTATCTACTGGATGTAGTACCATAGTCCCAGAACTTGGGTCCTAGACTAGGGTATGTCCTCAGAGGTATTTGAAGTAATGTCTACATTGATACAAAGAAACCTATGGCTCATCTGTTAAGAAAACATAGAGGAATACAATTCATTAAGAACAATAAGGATCATAGAACTCGAATGGATTATAACTTCAAGACTCAATGTAAGTTCCCAAGTAATGCACTGTAGCCCTTTTCTCACTTTTACATTCAGATCAGGGCTAACCCTAATTACTAAGGGAATACACTGCAGAGAATTGCTGTTCTTGTTAAAACATCACAGCCATTAGCGTTAAAATAGTCGAATGAACTCATCTAACACCTGGACATATTTTTAAAGTTCATCATTTACCATATGTAAATTTGACAAATTTTGACTTGCAATGCCTGCTGTTGTTCAAAAGCAAAGTCAGACTATCTAAATCTTGTTTTCCTTTGGTCCCACTTAAAAAAAAAATTACACATCTGTCAGTTTTATTACCATCAGAGGCACAGAGAGTACTATAGCCATTCAGTTTAAAAGGAAGACACCATGCTTCAGAGCGGGTTAACCCAGGCTACCATGAGCTCCGCAGCTCTTTGGTGAATCTGTGACTCCGTGACTCTCCCCTTCTAGAAAGAAACTTGCTCTAGAAAGAGACCTTGTTCTCAGAGGTATGGCTCCTAATCCTGGTCTCCCTATTATTGTGTGGGGGCTAACCAGGGATTGGATCCTATTCCAGTGGGTCCCTCTCTTCTGCCTCCACTGGTCAGATAATGGTCTTTTCAATGGTCTATTCTCTTCACTCCTCTACAATGTTTTCCTCAGTCCACCTGTGCATCGCCACACTCCAACCCTCTGGCTGTAACAAATTTAAAAATAAATCATTTGTAGGAGTTCTAACCATCAAGAGTACACCACACTACATTTCAATTAAATGATAACCATTTTATGATATTCAGAATTTTGTATATGTCAGTAATCACTGAGAAAATGCTTCATTTAGACTCTAAAGTTTAGAGTAAGCAAGATACTTTTGTATCAATATAGTATTTAAAATATAACGCCTAATGAACTGAAATTCAAGCCTTTAGTCAAGAGAGCAAATGAAAACTTTTTTTACTGGCAAGTTAGGCTTTGGTTCCAGGTTTGATTTCTCTGAATATCAGCAATCAAAACATCTCAACCCAAGTAGAGAGGATGAAATATAAATTCTAGTGAAATCTTAAATGTTTTTACAAATGGCTACCAAAAGCAGAAGCTCTTGTTTGTTTGGGTGGGTGGGACAAGTACAAAACAGACATAATTCAAGAATTTGCTAACTGTATTATGCATAATGTTCCAGAACTGTTTATATCCACATATGGACAGAAATCACAGGTAAAGGTCAAATCCTGTTATCCATCCTAAGGGATTTTCCAGTCTTTGGCTGTAATATTTTTTGTGGTGTTGGTTAATTATAACGTCTTAAGCATGTACTCATTACTCTGTTACAGAGTATTAGACACCTGTATCAACTTAAGCCTGCCTTGGGAGAAGGGCAAGAGATGAAAAACAAATGACTTGGCCAAGTGCAGTGGCTCACGCCTGTAATCCCAACACTCTGGAAGCCTGAGGCTGAAGGATTGCTTGAGCCTGGGGTTTGAGACCAGTCTGAGCAACACAGTGAGACCCCATGTCTAGAAAAGAAATTTAAAAATTAGCAGGATGTGGTGATGCATGCCTATGGTCTAGCTACTCAGGAGGCCAAAGTAAGACGATCACTTGAACCCAGGAGTTGGAAGCTTCAGTAAGCTACGATCACACTGCACTCTGGCCTGGATGACTGTCTCTTAAAAAAGTAAACAGGAAAAAAATACTGACCAAGATACTGTGATTTTACTATTGTTATTCATAAGGCTGGATAGAAAGGGCAAATGCTGGCTAAAAACAAACAAGCACAAATACAAGCAGCAATTGGTATTTCTGGAATTCCAGACTGAAGTTCTAAAAGGACGTCAAAATTCAGGAAACCTACATTTAATCATAATGTGAATCACCTACAAAACAGAAATCCAGACTTTCTACTGAGAAACTATTTTGTTGTGCTAATGGAAAGGTATTTTCCATGTCAACAAATGGGAGAGCTCTACCAACAGAAAAGCAACACTGGCAGCTTATGGAGCTAACAAAAAAGTTAAATTACATATATATATATAGGGATAATATAGGTATAATTATGTATATTAAATATACATATTAAACATGTACATATTTAATATATGTCTAAAAGCATCCCACTCCAACAGATGCCCTACACATAGGGTTTGCTTCTCATAAATATTTAAAATTGTTTAGAATGTAGGAACAGATTGAAAAATAATTTTGTACTTCTGCAGTTTGCTTTTTTTTTTTTTTTTAAATGGCTGTTTCATAAATTAGTTCCCTATTCCTAACTTTGGACAACCTGGTTTTTTGTTACCTGTCAAGGTCCAAATATAAAACTATAAACTTTCAATGTTGGACATTCTTGCTTTTTGAAAGGAAATTATTCCTCAATTTATAACCTGTGGCCAGCTATCATGAATAATACATCCACAGCACTTGGGTTTTGTGAATGTGATCCTTCTAAATCCTCCTGCATAATAGTTTTAGGTGACTCGAAGAGTTAAAAACTGTCATTGTCATCAATATTTATTGTACATCAAACTCATTTAAAATGCTGTTAGAAACTGCTGACTGGCAAGATTGTCACTGACAAAAATACCAGCTTAGGACATATTCCATGGGAAACACACTAGAATAACTGAAAGCTAAAATAGAGCTTAATGGTAGAGAAAGTCTCAGAAACAAGGACAGAGATCACAGAAAAGACCAGGAAAGACTCCTACTGTTTTTTCTGATTTTGAAGAGTTCTTTGTGCTTACCTATTTACCCTAAACAAAAAGGCATGACTAAAAATGTCAAATGTATTATAAAGGGTATTCTGTCTAATAACAGGCTGGGTCTCAGGATGTTACTAATCTGCCCAGGTGTTAAACCCCTGATGAGACTCTGCCTTACGGAGAGGAATGGCACTTTCCTACTAAAAACTACTGCCATCTGGGGAGCAAAGACTGGGGATAGAGAACTACAAGAACAAACCTATCTAGTATGACCTTGTGACCCGGAAGCCTCTGGATCTATTGGTACTACAGCAGGTGCAACATTCTTTCCCCGCCTTCTTTCTCTCCCTCTTCACTGAGCCACATAAAGAAGACTATGGCACTTCCAATGCAAATCTCAACTTCACCGCTTCATCTCTTGCAGAAGGGAATATGCCCTAAAACGGTATACTAATTAAGTTTTGGAGCTACTTTACAGTTCAATTCAATACATACCTATTGCATTCCAGGAATCCTTCACATCTGCAAGAAAGCTTGAAACCATATTTTCTTCTTTTTGACTCTGTCCAGCTACAAGCTCTGCTGCAGTATGTATAACAAACACCATTAGCTTCAAAGGAGGAATAATATCTAGCTACTTAGTTAAAATTTCAAGTGTGCAAAATTTTCCACTGTGGAAATGGGAAATGTTGGACACTTGAAATTTTAACCTATTGGCTAGGCATTCTTCTACTTTCCCAATTAATCACTGCTAAGACTCAGACCGTTGGGGACAGATATTCCTTTCTGATTTTTAGATGCTTCTGCAAAAGCCATTGCTTCATACACACTATAGAAGAGAAGGTTTTCTTCTTCCTTTTGGCAATATTCTCCTTTGGTTAGGGAATCCCTCACAGAGGGATTACACTGAGCCAGCAGAACTTGGATTCCAATGGCTTCATAATCTCTGCGAACTTCTTTCAGTGTATGGATCCCTGCTGTATCTAAAAATTGAATTGCACTGCAGTCAATCACTATAGTATTCAGCTCCAAGGGATCATGGGAAAGTTGCACTGATACTTCATCCTGGATTCCACCGAGAGTCACTACTTCCTCTTTGACCTTTTTCTTTGCTGCCTTCTTCCAAGCTGCCTTTATTAAAACTGGGTTGACAGTTTGTTTGTATAAAGCAGATTTAAAGCATTCTTTGTTTATGTAGTAGAGAGGGGCTACAAAGCGGAAAATCTTGATGCCTGGCTTAGTTTGAAGGTTCTTATAAGCAGACAAGGATTCAAAGACTTCAGACCCTTCCACCAAGCCAAGCAATGAAATCTTTGGCTTCTGAGTGCGGAGGATGACACAGAACATAGAAAAACAAACCCCAACAAGCAGTCCTATTTCAGTACTCAGCAGTGCAGAGGAAAGCATAGTAACAAACCAGATAACTGTATCCATTCTACTAATACTCCACATCTTGGGAAGATCCCTAAATTTACGAAGGGCTCCCCGTAGATTTACAATTGTGATCACACCAAGGACACATTTTTGAAGGGAATAGAATAAAGGAGCTATTACTAAGAGGACCAACAAAAGAACCAGGGCTGTTACCACACCGGAAAGCTGAGTTTGGCAGCCTGTAGATTCTTTAACCAATGTCTTTGCAAGAGCTGCACTAGTAGTAAAGCAGTGGAAGAAGGAAGGGATGATATTACAAAAGCCAATGGCATACATTTCTTGGTTCGCTCTGACTGTGTAGCCATGTTTCTTGGCAAACATCTCAGAAAGTGATACAGTGATAGCAAAACCAATGATGGAAATAGCGATTGCATCTACAGCCACACTAGGAATTAGGTTCCACTCTGGTACTCTGGGTGGCATAAACCCAGTAGGAATATGTCCAGCAATACTAGAATCATAATTCTCATGTAGCTTTCCAAAATGAGAGGCCAAGGTGGCTGCCACAACAACAACAAGTTCAACAGGAATCGGTGCCTTAAGCTTGGACTTGAAGTGCTCATTGAGTTCTTTGGTTGGCAAAAGAACCAAAAGGCACAAAAGGCTGGTGATAAGATCACAGGTATTGGTCTCATGGATGTTTCTGAAGATATGTATCCAGGTAGTGATGAGTGAGCCCACACCATTACTCCGAGGAAGGTTGAGCCCAAGGAGATACTTAGCCTGAGATGTAAGAATAGTGAAGGAGGCACCAGTGACAAATCCACTCAGCAAGGCATCTGAGAGGTAGACAGAAACAAAACCCACTTGAAAGAAGCCCATCGCTACCTGAAAGGAAGGATATAGAACTGTTAAATACAAATGGAAAAGAATGTCTATATTTTGTATTATCCTGACATTTCTTACATGGAGACATATCATCAGAGCATCACAGAATGTCAGAGCTAGAATAAACACAATCATACCTCAATCTTCTCATTTTACAAAGGGAAAATTATGTTTAAAGGGCTAAGCAACTTGCCCAAGGTCCAATGTTAATTATTAGCCCAGGTGAGACAGGGACATGAGATTTCTATCTTTTCATACAATATTTCTTGAGCTTGAATAAGGTTCACACCTCTTTTTTTTTTGTCATTCTTCCCATCACAAAGAACAGATCTCGCTCTCTTTTTTTTTTTTTTTTTTT